AGTAGGTTGCAATGGCATCCTCCAGGGGATCTTCCCAACCCAGGGATTGAACCCACATCTCTTATCGTCTCCTGCACTGGCAAGTGGGTTATTTACCACTAGTGACACCTGGGAAGTCCTTCAATTCTCCTGGAGATGGGCATGTTGATGGATCCAGTAGGCCAGTGATTCATGGAATCAACCGTGATTTCTTTAACAGGTTCATCTGACATTGGCCATTGATACGCAGAACCCAATGGAAATAATCCGGTGGCTGGCAGTCAGCCTGGACACTTACCTTGGAGAATTACCTTGTTCAAGATTAGGACTTTTTGTTGTTAAAATAGTCCTCTTTTCCTCCAGTATTCATCCTGTGGTAGAAGAACTGAAGTCTGACCTGAGAGGTGCAGACTGGCTTGGGATGAGGGGTCATCTCTAACTCTGAGGGCTCAGGACATAGGGAGATTCATTATCGCCTATGATAATGAACAGGGAAACTCGGCAACTCTGGGACTTCCTTAGTGGCTCAGATGGTAAAGAATCTGCCTGCAGTGCAGGAGACCCAGGTTCAATTCCTGGGTTGGGAAGATCCCCTGGAGAAAGGAATGGCAACCCACTCCAGTATCCTTGCCTGGTGAATTCCATGGACAGAGGAGCCTGGTGGGCTACTCTCCATGGGGTAGCAGAGTCAGACACAACTGAGCAGCTAACCCACTTTGGCAACTCTAGTTGAAAGCCTGGACATTCCTTTGACTGCCTCCACCCTCCAACCAAGCACTGCTGTGCCCATTCCTCTAGCTGGGCATTTCCTTAAAACTGTGAAATCTGCCACTGGAATTCAGAGGTTGCGGACTGGTGACTGACAGCTGTGTTTAATTTAGCCCAGTATTTAAAAAACATCTAAAAACTAAGTGTTTACATAAAAATTGATTCCTGGCTTCTCTTTTTTTAAAAAAAAGATCATGAAGACCTGACAATTAGCACATGGCAGGATCCGCTGAAGCTGGGTAGGTTGGAAAGCATGCCTTTCAGGTCATTACAATCTCCATCAGTTATTGTTTGTCCCTTGCTCTTTATAGGAGGGAACCAGGTCCCTGTGCTGACTGCTGTAGCAGGAGTGGCAGTACAGTTGATGGGCAGGGGGCTCACTTAGGCAACCTGCTGGCCTCTGCAAACTCGAGCTGGCAACGCTATTTGAACATACTTTATCCCCTGAAACTGGTTCGTGACATTTCCTCCCAAATCCTTGATTACTTTGAAGGCGCTGCAGCTACCATCACCGTCCACTTCCAGGGTGACAGTGTGCTGTTTCCGTGTGCTTTATATGAACATCACCACGAATGGGAGATTGGTTTATGCATCAGGGGAGGGCCAGCCGGGTCCCCTTGGTGTCAGGGGCCTTGTCCAGCCTGACTGCCTGACTCAGCAGGCCCAATTGCCAGGGCCTGTCTTCCCCTAGACATGCAGGTGACACATCCTACATAGTGCAATTCTGTGGTCTGAAATCCTAGTAGAACCACTGTAGAGGAACATTTGCCTCCTTTATCCACCGATGCCTAAGAACCACTGTTCTGGCGCCTGGCAGGTCAACCTTATGGGACAGTTTGAGAGGTCACACTGCTCGAATCTGTTGCCCGGATGCTCTGAAACCTTCAGGGCCAGGTTAAATATGGGTGTGGCTCGGTACACAAACTTAACACAATGTGGGTGTGACACCTGAAGAGAAGGTAGGATGGACAGGGTCCCCAGATTCATGTGTGCTGTGTCCTGTTGGGCCCTGTTCTCACACTGCCACCTCCAGGGAGCAGCTATGACCAGGTCACCCCCCAGACCTCCCCTTCTTCCTGACGAACAGACCTTCTCTGCTACTTCAGGCAGACTAGAGAGTTACAAGGGCAGATGCCCCACGTGTGCTGGCTCTGGGCTCCATCCCTTGATTGTGGCTGGTTGATGGACAGCCCAGAAACTCTTGCCTGTGTGAGAGTGCGTGTCAGCAGCCCCGGCCTCACCCGTGATGCAGAAAAAGACATCAACAAGGCAGAACCCGAGTGAATCCATGTCATGTTCACATGAAGACAACAGACAATATCCAACATGTTCTAAAACAGCTTCTCAGGAAAGGGCAGGTGTGGCTCCCCACAGGCTTGTTCTAAACCAGTCTCTTTAAAGGAGTGATCCAAACAAAACTACAGAAACCCCCCCACCCCGAAACAGAACATCACAACTACGTAGCATCTGAAAATCAAAAACAAGACACTGGATGTTGACTTTAACATATAAAAATACTATAACAAAATGAAATACAAATATATATTAGAATCTGTTAAGTATTCTGTATAAAGAGATACTTTCATGGTTAGGCTAACAGCAGGCAAAGAGGAGATAAAGTCCAGCCTTTTCCATTTCCAACACCTGCAGGGGGAGCCCAGGCCACTGCCGCCTACATCGCTGGCCAAAAGCAGCAGCACCCACGGGACTGGCCCTGTTTGTCTCTTCAGTGAAATCAGCCGATGGCAACATCAGCGTGAATTGGAGGTCTTTACCAAAGGGGTGACAAGGCTTGGAAAGGATTTCTCAGGTGATTTCGTGGAAGCTTTCTCCCTGGACTCAGTGGGCCCAAATTCAAATAGGCAAGATGCGTGGTGGTCCAGCTCCTTAGCAACTTTTGGGTTGGTGCTTCAGTTGATGGAAAGTTGATCCTGGGGCACACAGGTCTCTTGGGCCCCCTTGCTGTATGCGCTCTGTGATGGATCCCAATCTTCCAGCTCGACAGAGGATGAGTGTGGAGCTGGGGTGGGGTGTGGTGGAGGGTTGGATGGGGACAGCGGCCAGCTCACAGAGTGCTCCCTAACACTCCGAAAACTTCATCCTCTGCCCTCCCAACCCCAGGACTGCAGGACTCCTGGCAGCCAGCACCTATCTGCAGAGTGAAGAGGCCCTGCCAATCAGTGCCCCTCAAGGCCAGGGAGTGGCTTCTGCAAGTCAGCAGGCAATGGTGGTGGCTAGGGGAAGGTATGTGTCTCAAGGTTGGTGGGTTCCAGAACCATCTCTTCCATGGAAAGGGACAAGTTAGCTACACTTGAACTTTCATGCCAACCCAGCTTGGTGCTGGCTGCTGTCCAGGGTCCCGCAGTGGCCCAGAAAGTCTAGGTAAGACAGGGATACTGTGCAATCTTAGGAGAGGCCCAGGCTGCTGCCCATGGGTGTGAGGGGTGCTGTGGCCTTGCTCAGAGTTTTGAGAAAATAGAACCTGGCCCCTTTTGAGGGGCAGATCCAGCCACAAGAACACCTCCTCAAGTAGGCAGGGCAGGGTTCTTTTCCCATTGCAGGGCTCCCAGGACACAAACTCACTGGCCTGAGTCCCAGGGGAGTGGAATGTGCCAAGTTTAGTCAGTTGTAAAAGGCCCTAGAATACCCAATATCAAGGACTTTGCCCACTGCCCACAGGCACAAGGCCCACCTCAACACAGCCCCCTAACCCTGCCTTCTGTTTACAGATAGAAGGACCCAGGAAAGGGACATGCTCACCCTCCTTGCCCATCAGGGGCCCCCAGGAGAACACGCTCTTGGGGAGATACTGGGACAGGAGAGCATGACCTATCCTCCTTCCAGCCAGCTTGCTGTTGAGGTGAAAAGATCATCTTTCCACGTCTTCATTATGCATGGAAAAGAAACCCTTGTAGTCACATGGCCATTTATTTGATGGCTCTTCAGATACTGAGTCCTTCCTTGAAAACACCTAGAGTGAGCAGCTCTGGCCGGGCCCGGGGTCTGTGGGTTGGAGCCCTCACTCAGCTCAGCTCTCTTCCCAGGCATCCTGGTCACTCCTATGATGCTCAGTTCACGTCCATCTGTGAGAGCAGAACACCCACGGTTCCCAGCCCCGGTTAGGCACGTAAATACTTGCTGATGTGATTAATGAAAATAGATCTTCCGACTCCTCCAGCTTCTCTCCTGGAGCCACAGTGGAAGGGTCTACCTTGTCGCGCAGTCATCCCACCTCCCCATCAGCTGAGCAGACTGAGGCCCATGGGAAAGAAGTTTGCCTGGAGTGACAGAGCCAGCAGAGGTTTCCTGATGTCTGAGCCACTGCTCCCAACAGGTCTGCAGTACAAGGAGCTCTGAGCCCAATTTACACCGGACGAAACCTCTCCCTGGACCTCCAGCCTGGCCCAATCCCCCTACAGCCCCAAAGACCTCTGCCAAGGGCTAGCCAGCAGCTGATGGCTGGCTGGCTCGTGGCTGGTGAAGCCCAGGACCAATGCCTCCTTGGTGGCTAATGTCAGGAGGTGGTGATGTTTATTCTGCTGGAAGCAAGAACCCCTCTGTCCTCTTTGGTGGGGTACCCACCCTAAGCAATCCCAGCAGTCATTTTTCTCCACACGAGCACCCTCCTTGAAATTGCTAAGTCATCCCATGACTTTAGGATTCAGAGGTCTGGTCCTAAGATCTACTGCCACCCCCAGGCCCATTCCCAAGCAAGGAGTGGCTTCCATTCAGCCCCCCGGAGTGGGGGGTCGGGGGGCAGGGGTTGGTCCCGTCCTGGCCAGCAGGAGGGCGCCCTTCCCCTCCGCAGCCCGGCCTACCACGGGCAGCAAAAGCCAAGAGCTAGGCCGGCTGCCCCAGGGGAGGTTGGGAGTACTTCAAAGTTATCTGCAGGGGGCAAGGGTGCCTGCCTGGGCCACAGGGGAGAGGGGACGTCTGGTTTGGGAAGGGGCAGTCCCTTCCTGAGACCCAGGAAGCAGGCAAAGAGGAGGTGTCACCATTCTGCACTTCTTGGCCTGACCTCACGCACACATTCATTCAACAAATATTTATTAAGCGCCTATTTGTGCAAGGCACTTCCGGAGAGGGCGGACTGCAGCCAAGGCCACGCCCACCCGCCCCGCCCCGCCCCGCCAGTTGCGGCTCCCTCGGCTTTAGAAAGGTGGTTCTGGCCCGACCCGCCACCAAAGGCGGGGTGCCTAGGCGACTCCGTGGTGATGGCCCGTACCCCGGCCCAGATGCCGGCCACTCGGTCTCTGCTGCGGCCGCGCCCCCTCTCCCGCCCTCTCCCCTCCCCGTGCACTCCAGGCGCTACGCGCAGAGGGCACAGCCACACTTCGTGGGCTTCTCCACCTCCTCAGCAAAAGAGGTCCCGTCGCTGCACTCAAAGGTGAACTTCCTCCGCTTCAGCCGCAGGCCCTGGCAGCAGCCCTGGCCCGGACATGAGCCCCGGCACTCCACCCACGACAGCGGGCGCGTGGTCCGGCAGATGGCATAGCCCCTCTGGACCTGGTGAAAGTCCCGGACAGGGTCCCCCCGGCATTCGGACTCTGGATGGGACAGACACCAAGAGAAAGCCTCAGGGCACACCCGAGGGCCAGCACTGCCCTGGGGAGGCAGGAGGAAGAGGAGGAGGAAAAACGAGCAGGAGTCGGGGACAGCAGCCTTAGACCCGGCCCTCTGTGCTCTCAAACCCCACCTCTATCCCCGCATCCTCCCTACCGGGCATGCACATGCACACGCCTCCTCCTGGACCCACAGTGAGGGCAGAGGAAAGGAAGAATTTTCTAGCAGCCAAGGACCTCCAGGACAGATTGGGCTGCGCCAGTAAGGTGGGCTCAAGAAGTGGCTGGAAGCCTGGGAGGCAATAATGTCAGAGACGGAATTGGACCCAGAGGGTCTGGCCTGGGGACTGGAAGGTGCCTGAGTTCTGGATTTCTCAGGTTCCTTCCTACCCCCTTCAGTGGAAAACCCTTGACCATCTTGGTCATGTGGGCCAGAAAAGGGCCTGGGAAGGAGTCCCCAACTCTCAGACCTCCTGCTGCTCTCCAGGTCCCAAGATGATGGGCTAAGATGCTATTGCCCTGGTCATCTCTTCTATGATGAGAGACCCCAGCCAGAAGGGGCACTGAGCCCAGAAAAAGGGGTTGCAAAGCAAGCTGGGCCAGGGAGAGATAGAGCATTGGTCTGAGGGTGGGGCTCGGAGCCCAGAAGATTGCGAGCACTACTGCCCCCAAGGAGGGGAGAGGGGCACAGAGGGGCCGCTGAGATTGGGGAAAAGAAAAGTCAAGTCGCTAAAGCCAGCTGTGGGGAGGGACCCTGCAGAGGGCATGTCAGGAGGGGGGCCCCTGACCTTGCTCACACAGCTCGCCCGAAAAGCCGGGGTCACACACACAGTGTGCCCCCTTGGTGGCTGAGGCCTGGCAGTGGCCATGCAGGCACCGCAGGCCCCGACAGGGGTCTGCAGGTGCCCCGGCCTGGTTGCACAGGGCCCCCGAGTACCCATCCTGGCACTGGCAGCTGTAGGAAAGAGCATCCAGAGGCACGCACTTCCCGTGGACACACCTGGAGGGACAGAGAAGAGTCACTGTGAGGACAGGCCAGAGCCAGTCCAAGCCCACCCGAGGGGAGCCCTCCCCACCCCCCACCAGCCCTTCAGCCCTGGGCTTCACGGGCTGTTATTCAGTTCCCAAAACTGAAACAAAGGGAGCAAAATGTCCTTCTGTGTTTGTCCCTAGGGTCCTTTGCCTGTTAATAAAAACTGAAAACCAAGAAAAATTAATAAAAACCCTGTGTTAAACTACATGGTCCAATCTGGGGGTTAAATGTATAGTCTTTCCTTACCATGGGGGCTTGCCTGGTGGTTCAGACAGTAAAGAATCTGCCTGCAATGCAGGAGACCCGGGTTCGGTCCCTGGGGTCAGGAAGATCCCCTGGAGAAGGGAATGGCAACCCACTCCAGTGTTCTTGCCTGGAGAATTCCATGGACAGAGGAGCCTGGCGGGCCCCAATCCATGGGGTCGCAAAGAGTCGGACACAAGTGAGTAACTAACACTTCCTCACCATGGGGAAGTGGAACTTTCAGGGGAGGGAAGGGAACCCACAGGTGGGCAGGGCTCACTTGTGGCCATGGCAGGGGCCGTCGGCTGGCTGGTCACAGTGCAGGCCCCCCCAGCCGGCCTCACAGTGGCACACGGGCCCTGGGGTGGCATTGGGCTGACAGATGCCATGCAGGCAGTAGAGTTTCCGGCAGGGCTCGCAGCCGGGCACCACGCCTGGCTTCATCCGTGTCTTGGTGAAGTCCTGCAACTCGTTGTTGATGTACAGGTTTCGGATGCAGCCATGGAAGCTGGTTCCATTGAGGATCTGCCACAGGCGGAAGGCAGCTGAATTCACATCCACCGGCATCCCTGGGATGGAGGCGGGGGGGGGGTCAGAGCTGGGCTGAGCTGGGCTCAGACCATGCCCAGCACCCCACTCTGAGGTCTGCTTGGCATATCTACAGTGTTCCCTAGTACCCTCAGCATCTGTCCCCCAGTCTCTGCAACCCAGAGCCAATGTTTCTTTTGCCACCTTAGAGGGGCCAGACTTCCTCCCCAGGAGAAATGGAAAAGCTCTTTTCCTTGTGATCAGCTGACAAGATACGCTCTGGGTGCCTAAGCCTGGCCACTCTCATCCAAGGCTCCTGCCCAGAAGCTCAGCGTTTACCTCCCAGCAGCGAAGGACTTGGGCCCTGAACTCGTGTGTACAGCACTTTGTCACTCACTTTCGTGGTCATCACTTCACAGCAACCCTCTGACTTTAGAGCTGCTGAAACCCCTTTGATTTCCGTGCTCAAAGAAATTGCACGACCAGTAAACAGCAGAGCTGGGTTTAACATCCAAGACCCCATCCCTCATACCTGTCCAGAGTCTCAGCAAAGCCCTCCACGGCACTGAGATGGCCCTGCTGCAGCTAGAAACCTGTCCAATCGGGACCTAGAAACGTTCTCAGGTGCTGGGTGGGGTCATCTACCCGAGAAGCCTGTAAGCCCCGTTGGGAGGTCCCCAGCTGATGCAAGGAGTCTATGCGTGGGACTCCCAAGGGCCCCAAGAATGGACCCTGAACGACCGACAAGCCCCCTTCTGGCCTAAAGCCAAGAGGAAAGGTGGCTACCATGCAAAAGGTGGCTGGGAAAGGCCAAGCCCCCTCCCAGGCCAGGCTGCAGGTCCAACCCACATTTCCATCCTTCTTGTCAGTCTGGGGTGGGCAGCGAGGAGCGTGGGCTCCAGGCAAGGAGGACAATCCACCAGTAGCTTGGCCATTTACTAGGACCTCCCCACCCTCACTGCCACCTTGGAATGTCCCCCACAGGACAGTCCTGATCCCGGCAAGCCTCAGGCCAGACGGCTAGAGAGGCCCCACCTGGAATAACCACCACACAATGGAGAGGCCCGGGGAGGGCTGGCTACAGCTCCACCCAGGCCAGGTCCTCACCTCCCACATAGAGGGGGGCGTCGCTGTTTAGTGTGTAGTGTTTGCCGAAGTTGTCCATGGTCATGGGGCTGCCGCCATCGATGGAGAGATTCACCATCTGGTCAAAGGTGACCAGCTCGACTGTGTGGAACTGCCCATCGTTGATCGTCTCAGTGCTGAAAGAAGATGAGGTGCCCCCACCCCAGAGAATGGCCTTCAGTTTGACCCATCCCTGCCCGGGCACTTCCCCAGAAAGGCCTCTGGTCCAGCACCCGCTTCCCAAGAAACCAAATCTCCGAGAGAAAGGACTGTGGGAACTTGGTGGCCTCTGACCTGGCCCCTCCTGTTCCCCTTCGGGGGACTCTCTTGGGAAAGCTAAGGAGTTTGAGGCAGGGGTTTCCAACTAATCAGCCTCCCCTCCTCACCATGGAGCCCCCGGTGAGGTGGTGGTGGGATGGGGAAGCTTGGGACCACAGCTCAGGCCCCAGATCCTCAGACCCAGTGTGGGACTGGACTCGGCGGTTTGAATGCCATTTCCACTTGGGCAGCCCGGGTCTCTGGGAGTCCTGATAACCACCTGCTCTTGGCCCAGAAGACCTCTCTGTGGCAGCAACCACCCCGCCCCCCCAGCCCTTGAAGGCAGCTGGTGGGCAGGAGGAAGCACTACCTGTAGATGGCGGAGCTGGGGTAGCTGCCCGGGTCATAACTGACACGCACGTGGCCCTGGTAGAGCTCCACTGCAATGTGATCGTTGTCCCCATTGTACAGCAGGATCCCATTGTCTTCTGCCGTGGAGACCTATGGCAATGGCACTTTCTCTCCCACCCCACCCCACGCAGCAGCAGCACAGGCTGGCGGGTGGGGCAGAAGGAGGACCCACCATTAAAAGAGAAATGCGTACAGAACTGTCCTCCCCTGCCTGTATGAGAGACATAGCCTTCAGTGGGTCCTCTCTCCCACTCCCTCTTCCCCCAACCCCACTAGAATCCCATCCACTGCCAGTCCGGCCATGGCCAGGGGAGGACAGGTGGGCCAGCTGGGGCCTGGAAACTCTGTGCTGGGGGTATATAAGAGCTTGGGACCATCTGCCCAGAGAGAACAGTTAGGGTAGCTGTGGGCTATCCTGTTCTGTGTGCCTCAGGAAGCTGCCTTGGGACCAGGATGGAACCTACAGAGAGGGCAAATTCAGAAAGACTCTCAAATAGCTAGAACAACCGTGGAAGCAAGCACTTGTCACTGGAGCCAAGCAAGCAAAAGCTGGAGTTGTGCCTCGGGAGAGAGATTCTGCTGTGATGATGCTGTGGGAGCCATGATGGTTTTTTCCTGCTCTGTCCCTCTTCTGGGAAAGATGCTGACCCCCTGGTCTGTAGAGCTGATACGTGGGCCAGTCTGGGCCAATCATAGTACCCTGTCCCCCCTGGACTCAGTGATTGGTCCAGGGATGGGCAAGTAGCCTGAGACAGGCCAATTAGTGATCTTCCCTGAGGCTGCTGACTGTGGTCCAACTAGAGTTGGCAGGGAGAGCCAGCAGTGGGAGAGCAGGCTAAACCGAGCCTCTCCAAGGATGTGGCCGAGGCAATGGCTGGGCAGGGTTTCCATGAGCTTTATTTTGTTGAACAGTTAAATTAGCTGTGGTCTTGCATGTGGACAATGTGAGTGGACAGGATTTTGGAGAGGTGATCAGGTGATGGAGAGCAGAGTGAGCATGTTTGATAGGCTAAAAGGTTCTGAGAAAAAGGAAAGAGAAGAAGACAAATAAAAGAGAGAAGAAAGATGTCGAGGTTAGGATGTGTGTGTATGTTTAGTCGCTCAGTCATATCCGACTTTGCGACACCATGGACTGTAGCATGGCAGTAGGGACAGGGAATGGAATTTGGGGGAAAGAGATGACTAAAGAAGGGTTTAATTTTTTTTATCATGTGATATGCAATACTCTCCCTCCCCCAAGAAATGTTTAGCAAACAATGCTGTGGAAGTGGGACTTGCTTTTCTTTCCCTCAACATAATGATGTTCTCAGTGGAATTTAAGACATGGAATGGCAAAGTAAGGGAACACAGGGCTAGCTGTGGCCGTATTCCAGCCACATGGAGAAAGCCTGTCTGCAGCGTTGGAGGCTGAAGCTGAGGAGTCATTGAGATAAGAGATGGTGGGAGGAGCTCCTGGTAAGTTTGATTTTCTGGATCCAGTCACCCATGAGACCACCTCCACCCCTGCCCTTCTCTGAGACTGGTTTTGTGACCCAATAACCTTTCCAGCTGTGCTTAAACTAGTTCAAGCTGAGATCTTGATACCCACATCCAAACTCAGAGTCCTCCCCACTGTTCTGATGGTGCTCTGACCTGAGACCAGGGTCCCCTGTTGCTCTCTGACCGGGTGCCCCGGGCACGCACCTGCAGCGTGATGTTGGCCCGCGGCCAGTTCTGCAGGTCCGTGAACTGCAGGTAGGTGTCCCGATCCACGAAGTTAACACTGAGCAGCTTCTCACATTCAGGGCCGCCAAAGCCGGGGAGGCACTGGCACACGGGCCCATCGCCCTGGTCCACACAGTTGGCCCCATTCTGGCACTCAGTCCCTTCACAGGGGCTCCTGGGGGCAGGTGGTCTGGGAGGGGTCTCACAGAGCTGACCGCTGGGAGGAAAAGGACTCGGGTCAGAGAGGGCAGGAGCAAGGCGGGCGTCTTCCTTTCCCACAGTGCTGGAGAGAAACTCACTGAACATCTTGGGACACTTTAAAGCCATGGGAGATGCTCCCGATGAACACTCCCTCTGAGAACTAAGAGCCAGAGGATGCTGAGAAATCAGGTGAGAAACAAGTGCGGTCCCTGGACCAGCAGCATCAACATCACCTGAGCACTTGTCAGGGATGGAAAGTCTATTGAATCTGGCTTTTAACAAGAGCCCAGGTGACTTGTGTGCACATCAGCTTTAAGAAGCACTCAGTGCTCATATGAGCAAACTTTGACAGCAGGTTTTACTAGACCCACTTTGCAGAAAAGAAAACTGAAACTTAAGACAAAACAAAAGAGAAGACTCTGTAGCATCCAATATGCACAATAGCAAAAAAATAAAAGTAGAAACAACTCAAATGTCTATCAACAATGAATGGACAAACAAATGTGGTATAGCCATACAGTGGAATATTATTCAGCCATTAAAAGGAATGACTTTCTAATACATGCTTCCACATGGAGAACCTCTAAAACATGATGCTAAGTGAAAGCCAATCACAAAGGACCACAGGTTGTTGATTCCATTTATATGAAATAGTCAGAATAAGCAAATCTATAGACATAGACATTAGTAGGTTGGTGGTTGCCTAAAGTTGAGATGGAGGAGGGTTGTGGTAACAGATAAGTATGGAATTTCTTTGGGGTAATGAAAATCTTCTAAAATTGATTGTGGCAATGGATGCCTAACTCGGAGATTATACAAAAAAGCCACTGAATTCTACACTTTAACTGGGTGAATTATATGGTATATAAGTCATATCTCAATAAAACTGTTTTTTAAAAGAAGATACAAGCAGAACGTGGGAGGTGGGTGACCAGAAGGAAGGCAGGTGCCCTGCCCTCCCAACCTCCCAGAGGTGGTTTTGCACCTGGCTGAGGTGCAAAAGTAAGTGAACTTTAATGCAGGGCATGTCTTCAGGGAGCCACTGGGCAGGTAAGTGAATGGAGCGCTGCCTGGTCATCTATGCCCACCTCCTGCTCCCTCCGTCAATCAGGGCAGGCACCCTCTGCCTGTGCCCCGAGCCACTGAGGAACTCTCTCCAGGCGAGACGGTGACTGGCATAGTGACAGCTAATGCTCCCAGGCTCTGCCCTCACTCACTCCGGTTAGTCATGCCTGGGGGCTCCTGCCAGCCGCCGAGCTGACAGCTCGGGGGGGCCAGTCACCCTTGGTGCCTCCAGAGGCCGCTCACCTGTAGCCCTGAGTACAGAGGCAGGAGTAGCCTTTGGCTTCGTCCACACACTGGGCCCCATTCTGGCAGCGGTGGTCCCTGCAGTCATCCTGGTTCTCGCTGCAGTTGTCACCTGCGTATCCTGGCGCACACTCACACCTGGGGCGGGCACAGGTGACGGACGTCAGCCTCACACACAGCCCAGACCTCAGCCCGGAGCCTGCAGCACCCTGGGGCTATACATATGACAGAGAACCCCATGGTCCTGTGGGTCTCTGGGGTCCCCCAGGAAGTCACACAGAGCCCTAGATGTCAAGATGCCACCATCCGTCATGGGACCCTTTACTAGTACAGGACGAGAGCTTGTGGGGGCTGCAGGCAGGATGGGGGTGCTCTGGGCTGAGAGAGTGGATACCCCATGGCTGGAGGAGACAAATGCTTGTGGAGGACCCACCCTCAGCACCAACAGCACATCCAAGGTCAACCTTCAGCCCCTTCTCAACCTGCCCAGTGGCCTGTCCCCCGCCCCGCAGTGCACGGCTCTGAGTCACATACAGCTCATCCATCCGCCTTCGCCAGCTCCCAGCTGCACCGGCCCAGCCTCCTGGGCCTCAGTCAGGCTACTGCTCTCCTCTCCGTGACCTTCTGGCTCCAGGCCAGTTCCCAGCTTCCCAGCTCACACCATGGCTCACTGCTCTCCTGAGTCAGTCCACATGTGCCAACTATTTGCCTATCAAATAGAGAGCATGCCCTCCACCCTGTTCAGTCACGACCTTGCCTGATGCTCCCCGTCCTGCTCCCCCGATAACAAGCCACTCTGTGGTCAGACCTGTCTCCACGGGCAGCAATCCATACCCTGCTACACTTCTCTGCTTTTACGCCTGTTGATTCTGGTACACCCTCCTCTCTCCCTGCCTCGATCCAGCCAGGCCAATAGCTCACCTTCTCCAGGAAGCTGCCGGTAAGCAACCCTTGCCAGAAACCCTTCCAAACTAGACTCCACAGCTCAACTACACAACCTGGCAAGTAAGTGCACCTATGTGATTTTTTAAAAACTCATTTCCAGTGTTTTTCAAGCAGTAAGAAATACCTTTCACCCAGCAAACACACACACAGTCCTCTGAAACCAGTTTTATGCCACAATACAATCCTTACTATAAAAAAGGGTATGATTATCTCTGATATTTTCTTTTTTTTTTTGTTTTAGGTTAATCTTGGTCCACCCAACTGATCACAGTCTATTACAAGGTGGGTCTTGAGCTGCAGTCTGAAAAGTGTAACAGTAGCTATGCACCCAACCAACTCATTCATTTACGTTTCACTTATCCATTCATTTAATGAATGAATGCATACTGAACACTTGCTAGGTTCCAGGTACAATGCCAGGCACAGCTGAGTGTTTGGCAGTTCCCACCTTCCTCCAAGACACTGAGTAAATATGCACTATATACTCACTGGGTGCTCCGTCTCTGTGTTGTGAAGGACTGTCTCAGCAGTATCTGGCTGACAATGCCCAGTCCTGCTTCAGTCCAGCCTCTGAGGTCCAGTCCCTCTGAGGAGCAGGCATGCCACTTGCTCTGCCACTGCTTTTTGGTCTGCTCTGCCAAGCTCACGTGGTGGCTCAGCCAGGAGTGCAGCACTTGTCCACTATCTGGATGGCGGCTCCTGTGCAGCCCCTTGATCTAAGCTCTGGGCCTCAGTGTCCTCCAGCTCCCGCTTCCTGCCCGTGAGGTTCTGGCAGCTCCTACTTGGCTAAGTCCCATCCTCTGCCTTGGCCCGAGTGGCTGGGGTTGCGTCCCTCAGCCACAGATCTAGAGAAGCCCTACCACTGTGCTGCCCTGACAGGTGGAACAGGGTCCCAGAATTGAGACCTGCTTGCAAAACTGCAGGTGGGAGCAACATCTGAACACAGTCTGCCGGTGACAAGTACTTCTACATAGGCCAGTAATAATGATGGTGACAACAGTCAAGGACCCCTTATCCAACCCTCCTGAGGCCAGACAGGTTTTGAAATTCAGGACTTTTTGGATTTGGGAATGGTAATACAATGTCTCATTAGTGTTAGTCACTCAGTCATGTCTGACTCTTGGCGACTCCATGGACTGTAGCCCACCAGGCTCCTCTGTCCGTGGAATTCTCCAGGCAAGAACCCCAGAGTGGGTTACCATTCCCTTCTCCAGGGGATTTTCCCAACCCAGGAATTGAACTCGGGTCTCCTGCATTGCAGACAGATTTTTTTTTTTTCTTTCTACCATCTGAGCCACCAGGGAAGCCCCAATACAATGTCTCTAACTGTGTATTATGAAACATGCCAGCTGAATCTGGGGTGTCCCCTTAATTAAACATGCTCACATTCTGCTGCAAACTCTACGCATATTCCCTCTACATGGGATGAATGGTGACTCTAAGCAGCCTCCTATCAGTGCAGGTCAGTTTTTAATACCAAATACATTGATTGGATCAAATTTTGCTATCAAACAGTCATTTGGTTTTCAGAGTTTTGTGTATTTTGCAATTGGCAATGAGAAATTGTGGACCTTGACTAGTTATTTATTGAGTACTTTTCAAATGTCAGACATGGAGGGCAGTGCTTTCCACTGCATTGGCTTATCTAATCCTTCCAACCACCCCAGGAGGAAGCTACTGGTGCACCCAGTTTGCAGATGAGAAAACTGAGACTCCGAGTGGTCAAGCCACCCATTCCAGGTCATGATGTAAACTCAGGTCTGTTGGACCATGAATACCACCACCCTGCCCCTGGCTCTGACTGTACAGCCGAAACCAACACACCTGACAGGTAAGGAAACAGAGGGGAGGTGACGTGGTGCCCCATGCCCTTCCCTGGCCCCAGAAGTGGGCAACACTGACCTGGGCCCATCGGGGGTGCCCACACACTGGGCCTCATGCTGACACGGGTTCAAATCTGGAGCGCAGAAGTCCACGAGCAGCTCACAGGCCCTTCCTGGGGAAAAGATGGGGGAGCAGGAGACAAGCCGCCCCCTGTGCTCCACCAGGTGGCCAGCCCAGCAGAAACCTCCTGCAGGCACCGAGACAGGGCCCCAGCCTTCTGCCCACAGGACCAGGCCTCGGGGCACTGGTCCTCAGCTCCCCACAGACCCTTGAGCCCCGCCACACTTACCTGAGTACTGCAAGGGGCATTGGCAAGTATAGTTGCCCACGCCGTCCACGCAGGTGCCCCCATTGGCACAGGAGTGCTCCACACAGTCGTCCGTGTCTACCCCGCAGGTCGGTCCTTCAAAGCCGGTGGGGCAGGAGCACCTGTGGGGAGCAAGGAGAGGTGGGTGGGCCCACAGCCAGGGTGGCAGCCTTCCTGAGGCACTGGTGTAAGCCTGTGGCCAGTAGTCAAGAGCATCAGCCCAGAGTTTCGGTCCCTGCTCTGGATCAAGCCCTTGTTAGGTGCTGAGGGTTAGAGGTGACCAAGACCAGCCCTGTGAAGGTTTTCAGAGCATCCGGGCAACAGATCACTCGTCTAGTAGGGGTGAAAACAGGGAGACTGGCGACCAAAGGAGAGACTGAGGACCAGGATGGTGCGAAACTAAAGCTGGAAAAGGTGGGCAAAGGGGCAGAGGTCACCTAGCTCCTCCCTGGGGGGAGTGGCCAGGGCGGGCTTCCTGGAGGAGGTGGTGAGTTAGCTAAGGACTCTGACAGGGGAGAACAGAAAGGAGAGGGAAAGCAGTGGGGGTAAAAGCCTGGGGGAGAGAGCCTTACAGTGTACCCTACAGTTTCCTCTATATAGTTCAGGATTTGAGGAGCACATATTTCAGGGATGGGGTGAGAAGAGGGCTGGGGGGTAAGCAGGAGTCAGGTCCTGGATATCAGTCATCTTCAAACTGTGATACACTCCCTCCTGGGGCAACTGTGGTTTTCTAAAGGGTGTGCAGGTCACAGAGGGCTGAGCAATTAATTTCCACATCTTCAAGTTCTGCACGAACTCCTCCCTTAACTGACCGCCCCAGAGCTCCAGAAACGTGCACAAGTACCTTTCCAAGCCTGAAGTCAAGGTGGGCCATGCCTGGGGCCTAAGATCCTCTGGTGCCAAATAAAGGGACAATTAGAAATAGTGATGTTTTCAAAATGAAGGAACAAATGCTTTTGCAAGTCAAGAGGTTTCCAATCCTGTGCATTGAAAAGTAATTGAAGGAAGACCTCATGGAACTATCAGCTGATAGAGCATTAAAAATAATTTTTGATGACTGATCACTCTGGGTTTTTGACATATTAATTTGGAAGGGTTTCAAGTAACTGAGAGACATGGCTATAATAAAACTCCTAATCCCACTGGTTTATTTATGTGAACAAACATTCTAAGCATTTAGAGCTATATATATATATACATACATATATATATATAGAGAGAGAGGGCTATATATATATTTTAAAAAGGAATAGATTGGCTGCTAAGCCCTCTGATATTCCATAATATTCATGTCTGGACATAGGAACCAATTAGGAGAAGAAAAGGAAGCACACCCACATACAAAAGCTCCATCTATCTCATTAAGAGATACAGTCTAATAAAATGTTACTTTTATGTGTAATAATTATCAATCAAATTTGAAAAAGTTATGTTGTTCTAATCAACTGTATATTATTGATCATTGTAATGATAATGCAAAAGAAACTTTCGTCAGAGATTTATGGGGACAAGAAAGAAATGAAAAAACTTTCCATTTAAACTTATATACCCATGTTGGGGCAGAAAGGTATGACAGGGTGCTCAAGAAAAGCCTCTCTAACATGAAAACAGATTACAGTAGAAGAAAAAGTCAGGGAGGGTGGCAGTGAGGGGAATAAAATAGAAATACTAGTTTGAGAAGAAACACAAATGACATGAGACGTTGCAGCTTGTTCAAGAGGAGCTCCTTCATGTGATTTTAAAATGATTTTTTGCTGAAGAATGAGAAAAGAGTGATTTAAAGAATGATAGCTTTATTTTTAAGTGTTAGTAATATGTGCAATATCCTGGAAATGACCTTCTTTGCAATGAAAAATTAAATTTACCATGAAAAATTTTAGCTGTCACTTAAGAATGCATGAAGTAGTTGATAATTTAAAAAAAAATCTGTTTGGGGGAGCAGGTATGTGAACAAAAAGGTGTGAAGCCTGTTGCAGGGTGTGTCCTGGAATTTCATTCCCCCCTGCGAGATTGCAGGGTACACCAGAGAGGTCTGAAGCAGGTTAAGGGGATCTTGGCTAAGTCCCCTCTGGTAGGGCTGGGGGTGGATAACAGAGGAGACCCTTGTAAGTCTCAGGGTTGGGAGGTAACTCAGGGAGGCACCCCTTTCTACCAAAAGAACCTTTCCAACAACTCCCCCCAGTCTGTAGGAATACCAAGTGTGAGGGGCTACCCCAGTTGCACCCCCTCCTCCACAGACCCGCCCCCCAGTAGCCTAGCCAATGAGGTGGGGGCTTTGATGGAGCTGCTACCAAGCCCAGAGGAGGTCAGAGCCCATTGTAAGGATGATGTTTCCAAGGCGACACCTGCCATGAGGTCATTTAGTGTTTTTTTTTTTTACATCTGGTAATTTGGGTTTGCAGAGACAAGTTGACCATTTCTGCCAGTAGACTTGACATCATTTTCCGAAAAGTCAGTTTGCTCAGCTGGCAATTTATTTTCAGCATCTAAATTCTGTGTGCTCCTCAGAAAAGCTCTGGGTATAGGAGAACTCTGGGAAGATGGGGGGCTCGAGAGGCTCTGGGGGAGCAGGGTGAGTGGGGGGCTCGCGTGGCGATGTCAGCACTGGGAGGACTTGCAGGATGAACTGTGGAAGATCTCAGTGAGGTCCAGCCCTTCACTAAGCAGTGGGGAACCCGTGCCCATGGTGCGACCAGAGTGACCCACGAGCTGGTGGGGGAGACCCCGGAGGGCGGGACCAGGACTTGCTCCCACCTGTGGGCAGGCTTCCCCAGCCCTTCCCAGGGGCTCAGGTGGAGGTTTGATCCTGAGGAGCTGGCTCAGGGCCCTCCCTCAGACAACATTGGCCCAACAAGCAGGTGTTTGGCTTCAACTGGAGGTTAATAGAAACAATAGGCGTTTACAACGTCCCCCACTGCCTCTTGGCACTGTCACTGCATACGCCCTAGGCGACAGTTCCCAGTGCCTTTGGAGGACTCTCCTGGAACCTGGCAAGAGCAGGGAGAAGCCTGGAGCAGGAGCTCTAAGCCCAATCCCGACCCAGCCTACTGGGTGACCTGAGCATCCCCCAGAGTCTCTGTGCTTCCACTGTCTGTGGGCATCGGGGGCTTGGCCAGTGGGGGTGAGGGGATAGTGTGTGGAGAAGCCTCTGGCTGTGAGCTGGAATGAATGACTGCTCCCCCTGAGCTTGTCCCCCCATCTTCCAGAGCACAAGGGCCCTGGGCCATCCCATTCAGAGGAAGCAGGCACGGAGGTCGGACCCATCAACACCCTGCCCACCAGGGTCCAGTTCTGGACCCCAAGCAACTCACGTGAAGCCAGCATCCTCGCCCTCATGTGAGCGGCAGGTCCCACCATTTCCACAGGGGCTGCTGGAACAGCTGTCCAGGGACACCTCACAGTCTCGGCCCTGAGGAGGAAGTCAGTGATTGGGGGGTGGACCCCAGGGAGACCCGGGGCCAGTGAGTCAGCAGGGCCAGCCAGTGCCCCCAGCGACTCAGTCTGCCTGTCCTGGGAGTTACTTGTCTACTCAGCCACGTGTCAGGCCGTGGATGACACACTCGCGGGGGTTCCTGCTCTGAGTGGCCAACAGGACAGCCCCAAGCCTGCCATACTGCGCCCTCAAGCAGGTCCCCCACCTCCTACCTCAGCCCCCACTCACCTTGTAGCCGCTGGGGCAGGCACACCTGTATACCTCAAGGGCGTCATTGTGGCAGGTGCCCTGATTCTGGCACGGGCTGGACAAGCAGGGATCACACTTGGCCTGGACAGCCAGGGTGGGGGGACCTAAGGCAAGGAGGAACATTAGTGCAGCGGGGAGGCGGGGGTACAGGGCTGGGCAGAACCCCACGCCCCCACCCCGGCATCCTGGCGTGCAGGGACGTGTGGTGGAAGCCCTCTCCCCAAGGTTCTTGCCCCTCCCTGTATTTCCTCTGGATCACGCTCACCCTCCTTTCATATCCACCTCTCCAGCCTCCAGACTCTCCTCTGTAAAAACAGAGTTAAAAACAGCCCCTGCCTCATGGGGCTGGAAGGACGAAATGAGATAATCCCAAAAAAGTGTTTTGCAGGCGGGTGTTGGATAGTACGGAGCTCCCATGTGGCAGGCAGAGCAGGAGCATCGGTGTGAGAATGTCATGGTCACTATCACAGAAATCAGCTGAGGTTTTCTCCACCCCCTCATTCATATAAGTTAAATAAGCAGGGTGACAATATACAGCCTTGACATACTCCTTTCCCTGTTTGGAACCAGTCTATTGTTCCATGTCCAGTTCTAACTCTTCTTGACCTGGATGGGTTCAATTTGTAAAAATTCACTGAGCCTTTCATTAACTATCTGTGTAATTTTCTGTTATGAATGCTGTATTCCAATAAAAAAAATTTTTTTTAAGGAGCTTTCTTTCTATATATTATTTACTTTTGGCTCTGTTTTGTCTTAATTGCTACATGGGTTTTTCTTTTGTTGCGGCAAGTGGCAGCTAGCTACTCTTCCTCGCAGTGTTCAGGCTTCTCACTGCAGTGGCTTCTCTTGCTGTGGAGCAGGGCTGTAGGGCCTGCAGGCTTCAGTAGTCGTGGCACGTGGGCTCAGCAATTGAGGTGTACGGGCTTGGCTGCTTTGCGGCATGTGGGATCTTCCCAGATCAAGGATCAAATCTGTGTCTCCTATATTTGCAGGTGGATTCTTTACCACTGAGTCACCAGGGAAGCCCCCAGTTAAATTTAAACACACACACACACACACACACACACCCCACACACAAACCTCTCATCAGTACGAGTCCCACCCCATTAAATAAACACCGAGCAAATATTTCAACATAAACTGGCCTGCTCCCAACAGCCGCCAGCCAAGCCACAGACTGGACCCTTCTGAAGTGTTGCTCCTGTGATAGCATCCTGCACACAGGGTGGCCCGGGGCTCCCTCATTAACCTCCGGCTGTCAGTTTCACTTCCGCTGGTGGTCTGTGAGCTTGTGGAGGGCAGGAGCCGTGTCCCACAGCCTCCAGTGCCCTTCTGCAGCTGTGCCCCTGCACACAAGCCAAGCCCAGGGCAGCCCCTCGGCTGCTGCCTTCTGCCCGGCAGGGTTCCCTTGGCCTTCAGTCAATCAGTCAATCAGTCCCTGGCCCGTGTTTACAAAGGCCCAGGGTGAGGCGCCTCCAATCACACCAGGCCCTGGATTTCTAGAGATGTCCGGAGGGTAGCAGCTGGGTCCAGTGGCTCAGGGGTTTAAGCTAATTGCTGAGCACAATTCCTACCAAAGGGAGGCCTGAGTGCCTGTGCTGCTGGGAGGCTTGGAGCTTCCAGAAACACTGCTGCTATTTTTATTTTCCTTACATAACCCCAGGGAGGGATTAGGGCCCTTACAGCCTGAGATTTTCCGCCTGGCTTTTTTAAATTTTTTTTGCTTGCGGTATGTCAGGACGAGAAGGCAGTCATGCTAATAAGCAGCAAAGGCCTCATTCCTGCCACCTGTCCCCCACCCAGCCAGTCACCCCAGGGACACAGAAGTGTCTGGAAGTGCCCTGCCAGGGTTGATGGGGGAAGCAGGAAGTGGGGGGATGCAACCCGGTACCCGCCATCCCCTCTCGCGCTCCTGAACTCACCTTGGCATTCAAACTTCTTGGCAGGTGTGGTGAGGAGCAGTTTGCCTTCCATGTCTGGGGGCCCAGCGCAGCGGGCAATGCCTGGTTCCTTGTAGCCTGTCTTCACCCAGCCGGACAACCAGCGCAGGTTGCAGTCACAGAACAGGGGGTTGGCACCGATGGCCCTGGGTCAGACAGCAGAGAGGAGCAGACATTACACCTTCATGGAGTTCCTCACCCACTGGGTGCTGGGTATCAGGCATTATGCCCTGAGCTGGCAAAACCCTAACAATCCCCATTCAGTGAGCACTAACCGTGTAGCCAGGACAGATTTAAGTACTTTATACCTGTGATCTCGCTCAGTCCTCATCACACCCTACTAACCCCGTTTTACATGTTGAAACTGAAATTCAAAAGGTGAAGACACTTGCCCAAGATGCACAGAGAAAGTGGGGAGGTAGGATTTGCACTCAGGCTGTTGAGGCCAGAGCCTCTGTCGGCACCACCTCCAGGGTATACCAGGGAGAGACGAACCAACATTCACTGCTGTGATGAACCAGCTTCTCCCATGTTAGTGCGTCTAATCCTCTCATCAGCCTCACAGTATAAGCTTTTTCTTCTCCATCTCAAAGATGTGGGAACTGAGCCTCACGTGGAATAAGTCATTTTCCTGGGGTCACACAATCAGTGAAGCACAGCCCCCTGATCCAGACCTAGAGCTGTCTGACTCGAAAGCCTATGTTCTTTTTTAAAAAATTAATTAATTAATTATTTGACTGCACCAGGTCTTAGTTGCAGCACATGGGATCTAGATTCCCTGACTAGGGATGGAACCCCGGCCCCCGGCATGGGGAGCAGAGTGTTAGTCACTGGACCACCAGGGAACTCCCCTCTTTTTTTTTGTAAGCCTATACTCTTTAATTTTTCTCTTCATTTTCAATTAAACAAGAAGCACATAAGCACATTCTCACTGTAAATCATTTTCAGACATGGCACACAACAGTCTCACTTTAAACGACATTGTGAATGTCCTCAATACTACTAAACTGTATTCATTAAAATGGTTAATTTTATATTCCTTGAATTTCACCTTGATTTTTTAAAAAGGCACATTCCTATGTTACTGATGGGAATGCAAGATGGCAGAACTCCAACGGAGGGGGATTGCCTGATATCTATCTAGTCAGCAATGCAGTTGCCTTTTGACTCAGTAACTCTGTTTCTGGCACATCTCACAGATCTGTGCCTGCACAAGTGTGTAAAGGCATCTGTGCAATGGTACTGATCTCAGCATTATTTGTGATAGAAAGACCGGAAGCCTCCTGTGTTCATCAGTGGGGGAGTGGTTAAGGAAACTACAATACATCCACATTACAAAAAAGTCCACTGTCCCTGCCAACCACAGAACCCATGGTCACATGGTCATCATACTCCATATGTAGCCTTCCAATCCTTTCCCATATTTACACATATGATTGGTTCTTCATGAGAAAGAGATCATATTCATCCAGCACACATAGTTACTGAGCAGCCTGCTTCTTATCACTAAACAGCATGCCTTGGAGACCTCTCCAGGTCAGCTATATGGATCCACCTCATTTTATCAAACTGCTTCAGAGCATCCCAAAGAATGGACACTTCATAGCTTTCACTGCTAGACACTCCAGTTGTTTCCAGCGGCAGTGAACACTTTGTCCATGCCTCTCTGCAAGGAGAGAGCATTTCTCTAGAACAGATGCCTAGAAGGAGGATTCATTTTGCAGAGGAAGTGCACGTAAAATGTTCACAGTGAAGTGAAAGTGAAAGTCGCTCAGTCCTGTCCAACTCTTTGGGACCCCATGGACTATACAGTCCATGGAATTCTCCAGGCCAGAATACTGGAGTGGGTAGCTTTTCCCTTCTCCAGGGGATCTTCCCAACCCAGGGATCAAATCCAGGTCTCCTGCATTGCAGGCAGATTTTTTTTTTTACCAGCTGAGCCACAAGGGAAGCCCAAGAATACTGGAGTGGGTAGCCTATCCCTTCTCCAGGGGATCTTCCCACCCCAGGAATTGAACCAGGGTCTCCTGCATTGCAGGCAGATTCTTTACCAACTGAGCTAACAGGGAAGCCCAAAATGTTCACAGCCAGCTTCCAAAAAAGGTTGTAACGACTTACACTTGCCGGCAAGGTGAGGGTGTGCCTGCTCCCTCGCATCCCCACCCTGACACTGACACTGTGCACTGCCAACCTCTTAGGCTTTGACCAGGCTGGTGGGTGGGTAAGCTCATAACCTTCTCACTAAACCACAGTGAGAGATTCAGAGATGAACAAGACATGGATTTGGGGAAACAAAGGTTGCCAGTGGTCTTTGAGCCAGCAAATAGAAAAACCAGAGCCTTGTATCTGAAGTTCATTTGTATCAACATCATTGTGAAAACATAAGGCTATATAATGTTCATGAGAATGAGCACATTTATTAAGTACCAAATGGATGCATTGTCATTTTCCACCTGTGTCTGGGCAACACAGAGGAAGCAGTTCCCCTGGAGATCTGTTGGATCTGATAAAAGCAGCAGCGACTCTGAGCAGGAATTCCCCCAAATACACAGCTGATGACGGCCCATCTTATAAAGCAGGCTCAACAGTCTTGGACTCCGGCCCCTGGCGCAGCTGCTCACTGCCCGGGTGACCTTGAGCGGCTCACTTAACATCTCTGGGGCTCACTTTATGATTCGATAAAGAGCCTGCAATCTGGAAGGGGGAGAAAGACAAGCACATCGAGCCTGAAATGGGCGCCAAGGGAATAATGTAGCTTGGAAAATGAAAGCCAGTTCAGCCTCGACGTGTATTTCATCTTTTCTGTCCTGATTTGCTGACAGCATCCATCCTGGCTAATGGGACAGGGCAACACCTTCCTCTTTTCCCTGAACACAGCCAGGGCTTCTCAGAGGTAGAGGAAGTTCAGACGCTTCGATTTTTTGAAGCTCCATTGTGTTAAAAAAGAAACTAAAGGGTGAAGTAAGCCAGAAAGATAAACACCAATACAGTATACTAATGCATATATATGGAATTTTAAAAGATGGTAACGATAACCCTACATGCAGGACAGAAAAAGAGACACAGATGTATAGAACAGAATTTTGGACTCTGTAGGAGAAGGCGAGGGTGGTTCCAGAAGACTAAATCTAAAGCTGTTGTGAATGTGGAGGCCCTTGACACATCTTATGATGTCACAATTCCCAATTCCTGAATAAATCCTCCCCATAAATGGCAACAAAGTCACGCTCTTTCCAATTCTTCATATATATATATATATATATAATTCTCTATTTTTTTATTCTCTATTTTTATATATATTATTCTCTATTATATATATACAATATGGAGATAATAAAAGCTACCAAAGTCACATACAAAGCTATTGAAAATTAGGCATTCTGGCTTGACCAATACGTTTTACTTGTCGGTATACAGAGCAGATGGTGAGCAACTCCTGATTTCAACATTTCAAGCTTTTGTTTCTCCAAACCCTACTTTTTCTCTGACTACTTTATTAGTTCGAGTAGTTCACTTTCACCTGGAGTCCATTTTTCCCGATAAAATGACTGAACTCCCAGGGCATGGACAGTCACAGGCTCTGCTGAGACCAGTGGTGGGGACAGCCAGGCCACTCATCAATCCAAAAGGACTGTGGAGTCAGGTTCATCCCCCGACAAAAGTATAAATAACCCTGTGTTGTTGATCTTTGGTATAACTTGGAAATAGTTGAAACAGTAGCTATTTCATCTGTTTCTGCCAAGGCCCGCTGGGCTTCTTCTATTAACATAACCAAGACAGAAATAGACCTCCTATGACAGTGGTGCCAACTATAGAGTTTAGCATATACTAAAACTTCAAAATATCTTCACCTGAGCTATTCCTCCTCCCAGGCAATTTATTCATGTGCATCCCTGCCTCCTCCTACTGGAATGAAGCTCCCTGAGAGAAAGTGTCACTAATCCCACATGGTGCCTGAACCAGCAGAACCCCCCATTTGCCAAATGAACCCCTGCCTACAAGCAGGAGAAATGCACAAACCTCAGTATGAAAGCAAAATAAACTAAAAAATAAAGGAATCATCTACCACTACATAAATGTAACTAATTTAACTTTCATCTATTCCTTTCTAGCTCTTGTGCTCATGTGTGTGTATATGTATATATATACATCACTGAAATCAGAGTATATCATCCTCTTTATTCTGCATTTTTATCAAATAATAAAGTACAGTGTCATAAATATCATAACTACTTGTTATTTTGTCATATGGGCATCCCATGATTTCCCTAGTCATTTCATATTCACTTTTCACAAAGAATTTTTAATGAACTCAGAAGTCTAGTGTTTCCACAGGCAGCAGATTAGGGACAACAAAATGCCAGATTATAGACATGAAGAATGACATTGGGGAGCCTTGCCACAGGATTTGGCACATAGCAAATATTGGCTGATGGAAGGATGGATGGATAGACATTTTGCCAAATGAACCCCTGCCTACAAGCAGGAGAAATGCACAAACCTCAGTATGAAAGCAAAATAAACTAAAAAATAAAGGAATCATCTACCACTCCATAAATGTAACTAATTTAATTTTCATCTATTCCTTTCTAGCTCTTGTGCTCATGTGTGTGTATATATGTATATATATACATCACTGAAATCAGAGTATATCATCCTCTTTATTCTGCATTTTTATCAAATAATAAAGTACAGTGTCATAAATATTATAACTAACTACTTGTTATTTTGTCATATGGGCATCCCATGATTTACCTAATCATTTCATATTCACTTTTCACAATGAATTTTTAATGAACTCAGAAGTCTAGTGTTTCCGCAGGCAGCAGATTAGGGACAACAAAATGCCAGATTATAGACATGAAGGATGACACTGGGGAGCCTTGCCACAGGATTTGGCACATAGCAAATATTGGCTGATGGAAGGATGGATGGATAGAGAAATGGAGGAAAGACGAGTTAACTGTAAAATCCAAGTGGACAGCAGCAGAGATGTGTAGGCGGTGAGGAGCACTCGTAATCACGATGGCCTGATTATGGCATGTGGTTAGAACTCTGGTGGATATGAGAAATAACCTGCGTACAGGCAAGGAAAGAACCCAGAGCTGAATGAATCATCTGAGGTCCCGCTGCAAGTTGACAGCAA